TCAAATTCATCAAACACCATATCATATATTGGTATGGTGTGCCAAGACGAATAGTGCACGACAACGGTCCTCAATTCGTGAGCAACGCATTTATCAAATTCTGTGGTAAATTCGGGATTAAGGACGTTTCGTCGACTGCTTATAATCCTACAGCTAACGGATTGGCCGAAGCTTTTAACAAGACTATCATCAAAATTTTGGCAAAATTGGTAAAAACTAACAAACGAGATTGGGATGATAAACTCGGCGAAGCTCTCTGGGCGTATCGTACGACCGTCCGCACGCCTACCGGAGCCACCCCGTATGCTTTAACATATGGATGTGAAGCCGTCCTTCCATTGGAGATACAGATTCCTTCCCTCCGTATCGCTCTTACAACGGGAATGACGACGGAAGAACATCATCAGAAACGTCTCGAGGAGTTAGAGAAGTTGGATGAGAAACGCTTGGAAGCTCAACAACAAATCGAATTTTATCAAGCTAGAATTTCTCGGGCTTTCGATAAAAAGGTCCGACGACGAAGCTTTAAAGTAGGAGATCTAGTCCTCGCTGTTCGAAGACCTATGATTCTTACTCCCAAAAAGAAAGGCAAATTTGAACCTAAATGGGAAGGACCGTTCGTGATAGAGACAGTCTATTCAAACGGTGCTTATCGCCTGATTACTCAGGATGGCAACAAATTAATGATGCCAATAAATGGAAAGTTCCTGAAAAAGTATTATCCGTAATACGTTCAGGATAACCTATGTAAAACGGGAAGTTCCTAGAGAATCCTGTATAGGATATTTCAGGATAACCCGATATCAGTTGATTATTCTAAATGAAGACTGATCATGTGAATAATCTATTCTTAATTGTTATAAAAATAATTAAGATCCCCATATTACCTTGTTGAGATGAGATTTAATGATAGTTAATCTTTCCTCACAAAACCCTGTCATGTGATCATGGAAGAGGAGATTCGATGATTTGTAATCTCACACCATGAAACTCTTACTGATCGGATCAACTAATAGTCATCAATCCGTATCAGTCAACAGATTATTTTGTGTCAAATTCCTATGTTTGAAATCAAAATTTCCCACCGAGTAGTTAGTGCAAATCAACGAACTCATTGTTATTTACACCCTACTCCAATTCCTCAATTGGTCAAAACCTTTAAATAGTTAAGACCACAACCAAAATCCCCTCTCGATTCATTCCATGAACGAGAGGTCCACAAATTGAGCGATCAAACCTTTCTACAGTTAGGATCGTCTCAAAACCCCCACTTGGTCAAACCTTACTACAGTTAGGACCACAACCAAAATCTCCTTTCGATTCATTTTTTTGTGAACGAAAGGCCCACTTTTGAATTGAGTAATCAAACCTTATGACAGTTAGGATTATTCAAACCAATCCAGATTCTCTAAGTGGAGATCCCACTTTGAGTTTTTTTACTCCAGGAGATAGAATATAAAATTATTCCTCTCCAATTTTGGGTTTATCTCTACCAACAAACAAGAGATCAGGAGATAGAATATAAAATTCTTCCTCTCCGATTCTGGGTTTATCTCTACCAACAAACAAGAGCCAGGAGATAGAATATAAAATTCTTCCTCTCCGATTCTGGGTTTATCTCTACCAACAAACAAGAGACCAGGAGATAGAATATAAAATTCTTCCTCTCCGATTTTGGGTTCGTTGTCCTATATAGGAAACGCAACCTATTCACACTTTAAAAATCCATGTCGTTTACACATGGTAGATGTTATCTCTATCCCTTATTAGAGATAAGCCTACATTTAACACATGTAGCCAACATATTCAATATGATAGTTCAGAGTCTAAAAGAGTTTAATTCTTTTAGCGCAACGTTATATGTGAAACGGACTTAGATAATTCACATACTAGCCCGATTCAAACGGTAGTCGGTAAAGGCATATCAAATCCGTTGATGGCTGAGGATTTGCCAAAAATCCTATAAGTATTATGGTTATTTATTCTAAACAAGAATGAGTAATCATAATAAAACCTCAATGAGCAAAAAGATTCAATATAATGAGCAAAAAGATTCAATATATTGACCAAGAGTGTTCAAACAAAGCTACAAAAATATATGTTCTCCAATTACAAAAGTTTATATTGACGAATCTGATCTTCAAGCTGCGAAAGCTCTAACGCACGAGCCTGTTCAAGCTCAGCTGCCAATTTGATTTTAAAGGCTTCTTCGTCAACGTTGTGAAGCGCGGCGACCTCTTGTTCCTTTTCAGCAATCATTTGGTCTTGAAGGTTCAGTTGCTGTAATAAGTTGCCTTCAGTGTGAATTTCCCGCTTCAACTCGGACTCCAAGACATCATGAGCATCCTTGGCCATTGCAAGTTCCTCCTCTAAGCGAGCTATTTCTGCTCGACTCGATTCTAAATCCCGACGTAGGTTAACCTGGGCTTGTATTCTCTTGCCAACATTCATCCTAAGTTGATCGCTGTGGGCTCTTAGCTGTTGGAGCTCGAGATTAGCTGATGTTTGGGAATCACGCAACGCTTGTAGCTTGGAGTCCATGCGAGAAGCAATGTAGGAAGGTACGCTTTATATATGCATACAAGACAACAAGCTAAAGCATACCAAGTTCAACGGAAGAACCTTCAGCATGACTTGGTTCGCCCAAGGATGGTAGTCTGGATTCCTGAACAGTCAAGATTGGTTCAGGAATGGTAGCTGTTGATGCACCCGCTACATTAAGGACTTTTTCAACTAAAGCCTCAGAAGATGTTGGGTCCAAACTAAGAGACTCCTTAAGAGGGGATTCTACAAACAAAAGAATTACAATAAGCATAATGAAATGTTGACCCAAAATTTGAAACAAATTATGGGTAAAACGTACCAGCTCTGGGCACGACGTCGGCTGACGTACCAACTTCTTCAGTTGGTCTCACTTTTGTTGCGACCAGACTAATCTGGGGAGTGACAGTGACTTCTATCATCATGGGGTCCATAGGAGTAGAAGGTTGAGGTTCAAGAACTGATGATTGCAAATCAACCTCAGTTCCTGCCCATGGCACGAGTTCACTACCCTCCGGCCGATCAGACGTTCCAGTGATTATAGTAGTATCAGCTCCAGCAGCTGGTCCTATAATTCAAACACTTATATGATTAATCAAGTTAAAGTATATATGTATGCATATATGGAGTTTGCCGAATAGAGATCTTACTTTCAGAAGGACCTGCTTCTGTTGAACCGACTCTAACGTTGGATTCTGTGGCTGCACCAGGAGTTTTCCCCGATAATAAGTCGGAGATATACTCATGGTCGCCTTCAGAAAGATTAAAATCGAGGTGATGCTCATTGAATTCCTCGACCCCTGGTGCATGCATGGCCTCTCCTCCAACAGATTCGTGCATCGTGGCATCTACAAAATGTGTTGAATCGTAAATGACACGTA